TTGTTTTTTTTTACCAAGAATAGTTCAAAGGCAGATTTTTTTAAGAGAGATAACTTTTGTGTATCTTTTCTCAGTTTCGCAGACATCAATTGATATTGCGATGAGCAGAGCCTAAATCGTTACAATCTTTCTTCTGTTTTTCAATTGTTTGCAATTTTTCAGCCATAACATTCCTAGCGCTCTATTGATTAATATCTTGACCGTTAATTTCAGGTTTCAAAAGTTCTACCGCTTATACAGAAAAAAATTATTTATTTATTTCTATTAATTTCACCCTGTGGTCTTCATGAATGACTACACTCCTCAGAGTGATTTCTTTATTTACAACAACTAGTAAAAGTCATGTGTCTTCTGACTGGACTCATTTAACTTTTACAATCAGGTGATTCCGAGTAAATTAGACGCCCTACCAGGATTCATTAGCGGCCACTATCTTACAAACATCACATATGCAGATAACACAGTGTTGATAGCAGACACGTAAATGACACTACAAGAAGGAGGTGAAGGAAATCGAGAAGAAAGACCTACACATCAATTGCATGAAGACAGAATGAACGATAGTTAGCAAAACGAAAAAATATGAATTGAAGATTCCAAGACAAAAATAAAGACACAAATTTAAATACCCTGGAAGTGTCTCAACAGAAGTCGAACAGCGTGACACTGACATCCGAAGGCCCATTTGCATAGCGAAAGATGCCTTCCCAAACCTGAACAAAGTATTAACAGTAAAATTTCGTTAGATACAAAGAAAAGAGTACTGAACTGCTATGTAATATCAGTTCTGCTATATGGCAGTAAATGTTGAAAAATCTCCTCGCAGATGAAAAGAGTCTTGAAGAAAAAAGAAATGTGGTTCTACAGAAGGATAATGAAAATATCATGAACGGAACAGATGAGCAAAGACGAAGATTTTGAGAAAATTGAAACGAAAAGGATAATTACATTTAAAATCAGGAAGACGACAGTTGAAATTTCTAGGGAATATAACGAGGAAAGAAGGCTTGGAAAACCTGATACTCATAGGGCAGATTGAAGGCAAGAGGAACAGAGAGAAACTACGTAGCGAGCTTTAAATGGATTAATGGGACAAGATTTAAAGGAGATAATAAAAAGATAACATTTATTACGAGCTACAAACAATAGGAAAATGTGGAGATGATGATCGCTATCGTCCTGAAAGGACATCGCAAACATAAGGAGAATTAAAAGTCCTAATTTAATGTGCGCTATTATAGATATATGTAATATTATTATTGGGAAATGAGCGGTAAACATATATCCTCCTGACTTCAGTTTATACTGCGACCTTGTATTTTTCATATATTTTCACCGTTTTGCTTAAAGTTCGTAGTTTCTTGATTTCAAATGACAGTTTAGGAAATTCCCAGCATATCTCAGTGAAATCTTTACAAAATTATATTTTATTAGTACAGTTTAGATAAATTGGTTCATGAGGAGGGATCAATTTAAACTGACATCACGAATATGTGTTAATATGATGTCAGCAGAGTCTTTTTTTCATGTTTTTCACCCGCATTGTCGAGTTTTTTCTCTCAATCCACATTTTTTATAATTACCTCAGCTATTTTTCTCCTACTCCGTTATCATCTTCTTCTGATTATTATTATTATTATTATTATTATTATTATTATTATTGTTGTTGTTGTTGTTGTTGTTGTTATTTTTTTTTTTTTTTACTCCTGTCTGTTGTTTTTTTTTTTATCTCTCTTTTTACTTTTTCCCCGCTCAATAATTTATCCGCTTATCTATTAATCCATTCGTTTATTGAATGCTGGTTATTTTTGCACATTTATCACTTTTTTTGGTCTTCTTTTTAATTTACCGTTCGTTCTTTGTTAAACTTTATTATTTATTTATTGTTAGATTGTCTTTTTTGTTTTTGTTTTTTTTCTAAGTTTCAGCACCCTGGCGTGTAAGCATCATCGCTAATGTAAACACGGTCGCCAATGGTGTCGTTAGCGAAGGTCAGAGAGCACAAAGGGAGTTAACATTTTATAGGCAATATGTCGCTGTAGATATGTTGCATCATCGAGCAAGGCAAAAGCTAAACATCTGGACGGCAAGGATCACAAAAATCTTAATCATAAGAACAACAAAAAGAATAATGAAAGAGAAGATGCGAAGATAAATTAGAATAAAGTTTATGAAGAAAACAACAAAAGTAATGTTAAAATCGGTTAAAATCAGAATAATAGTAATTATTATTATTATTATTATTATTTCCTTTGATTTCTGGCGTGTACACATTTCTTCCCGGGTCCCGCCCAGAGACCTAAGGTTAGAGATGGCATCATGACACTTTCCACTGACCAAAAAAAAAAAAAGAAATACTACATAGATAAAGCCCTTCGTAAAGTCTGGGCTGTACTTGTGAAAACATTTTTTTGTATTTCTTTGAGGCATGGGCTTCCGGGAATCCTTTCAATTAGTCTACTGGAATCTTTTCCAACCAATCCTAGGGCTCCAACTACAACAGGGATTGTTGATGTTCCCATGTGCCACATTTTTGAAATTTCGATTTCATTATTATTATTATTATTATTATTATTATTATTACAAATTCACACGTTAATACTTAAGGAAATTTGTTATCTATATAATAAATGCAAATGTTAGTGTTTTCACTGTGTCACACTTTTTCAACTTTACTCCTAGAGGCCTTAGCACAACATATCATACCATTCTGCAATCAAGCCGACTCCCTGAGCAAATTAAAAACATTCAGGGACCAATCTTGAAATTATGGATTCCCAAGTTGTCATTACTGCGATTGTTTTCGGTGATTTTTTTACTCGATCTTTTGCGACGAATTTTTTAGACGATAACAATTTTTATAACTTTGAAATAAATTTGAGAATAATCGAAATTAATTGCGAAATTCAGCCATGAAATAAAAACAATTTTTGTACGAAAAGTAAGCACCAACGTACATCCAACTGTCTTTAAATTAAGTGGCGACAGAAGAATTATCGTTGAACTTTTAAAGGTAAGCTTAAATATTAATGCAATACTTAGATGCAGCGATCAATTTGTAGTTCTTCTATAGATTATTGTTGCCTATAACATTTACTCCTTCCGAATTTTTGTGATGAAGGCCCAATCAAGAGCCCTCCGTTTCACTATACTTGTAAAATAATTAAATATTTATGTTACACTATATTTTGTTATTGAAGTTCTATAATGGCCGATTATGCTTCTCTGCTAGGGCAGTTAGCCATTTCTTGTTACAGATACTGGTTCAGACACAGTTTCAAGGCGCGATGGATAAATTGTCGTCTAAACGACCCAAAGATGAAAATAACACTGATATCTCATTTTAACAGATATCATACTTATTATAAAACCCAGGTTGTGTGTGTGTCTGTACGTTTATATATTGGTTCGGATTTCCTACATTTTTCAACCGATTTCAACAAAACTTCACAGGACTACGTAAAATTATCTTGCAGTGGTTCTGACAGTGCCAAAAATTGGAAAAACACAATTGTTTTTGCACGAAATCAATTTGAAAACACGATTAAAAGGCACCGCGAGAATGAAAGGGGGACAACTCATATCGAGTTATACTTATTATAAAACCCAGTTTGTATGTGTGTGTCTGTTTATATATGGGGTCGGATTTCCTACATTTTTCGACCGATTTCAACAAAACTTCCCTTTTTTTGGCAGGTAGTGTTTCTTATTGTCTTGCACACTTTTTTCTTTATTTTTACATTTAGAATGCTTTAAAAATTCCATTTACAAGACAATTGTTTATAATAAAATTCTATTCAATCGGTAGACTCATAACGATTGAAAACAATGTTTTTGTTTGAGTTTGGGTTTGACCAATTCGTAAAAAAAAACAAAAAAAGAACAAACAAAAAACAAACAAAAAAAAAACTAATTAGGACATGCGTGTCCGTCAACCATAAACAATAATCTTTTTCAATTTTATTTTTCAGTCTTTATGATGGTCGATACTTGATCTATCTCTTCCTGTTACATCCCCGGGCAACGCCGGGCTCTACTGCTAGTATTTACTAAAATTACACAAAAATATCTTGAAATACTAAAGAGTAAATTTATTCAATAAATTTGCCGTTGGCTTCAACCACGACTTCGAAATCTCCTGCATCTCTTTTGGACGGTCTCCTTGTTTGTTGGTGAATGCTACGATAATCCTTGCCTTCAGTTCATTTTTGGTGTTACAAGGAGTTTTGTTGGACTCTGGTGCAACTGTGCGCCATACATAATAATCGAAGGGGTTGCAGTCTGGGGTTAAGTGACCTGATTTAAGTGGTGATGTGGTCGCAGAAATTGCCTGACAGCCATGACTGGGTTCTCATGCTTGTGTGGCATGGTAGAGAGTCCCGTTGCCAAACACATGGTTTTTCAGCAGCCACTCTCTTGACCCAGGTCAGCACTACCTCCTCAAGGCACTTGATGAAGGCCTCCGCGTTGAGTCTCAGGCCTTGTGAAAAGATGAATGGTGGCATAACGTCACCATCACTAGTGATCTCTCCAAACATCTCCCTAATCACCATTAGACCCATCCAACTGTTTCCTCTGCACTGTCATCAGATTGACATCCAAACGCTTTGAAATGTTCGTATTGGAGCTTTCGGCACGAATGCCAAGCAGTACAGCATGCTGTTTCCAAATTTCAGGTGGAGTGAATTGCGTCATGGTGCTCTTATTCTCACAGACGGTGCCCAACTGACCCTGATATACTGGGCAGTCGAGAAAATCAGAAACAAACAATGCGCATGCGCGAAATTAAAAATATGAAATGTCGTCAACCTGCCCATAGCACTCTTTACATTTACTGAAAACCCAAAGAACCAAACAGTGGCTTCTAATGTAACTATTCTTAACGCAACTTTTTAGCGTTTCTGGGAGAGGATATATAATCTTGCGACGTCAACAATTTAAGCAGAGACATTACGTTCAAACCTTTCATCCCAGTGACTTCTCACTTCGTGCTAGCATGCTTATGGTCATATCAAGATGAAACCCTCACTTCCCGTATGATCATAGAACTTAAGCAACGTCGAGTCTGGTCAGTACCTAGATGGGTAACTGCTTTGGAATACCAGGTACTGTAAGCTTAGTTGTGCGGGTGGTGTAATGGAGAATTGTTATTCAGAGAGTCGAGTTTCATTCCCCGTTGGGTTCTTTGTATTCATTTATGTGCAAATACACTTGCTAAAGGTATGAATCTACCTCTTCTCCTCCAGCTATGGGTTAAACCATTATTATGAGAAGAGGAGCAAGAGCGCAACCTTGCTTTGTACAGTTGCAGACGAAAAAAGTGTCCGATTGCTCATTTCCAGACCTTACAAAAACTGTCATCCGTTCGTGAAAGGAGATAATAATATGCAGCATTTTTTATTGAACACTTAATCTTGACAAAACTTTCCAAAGAGCTGTTCGAGATACAGTATCGAAAGCTTTTGTGAAGTCGAGATCCTTGTTTGTTCTCATGCCTTCTCCTGAGCCTGTCGGAGACAAAGGATCATATCCACGGTTCCTCTGCCGGAACAAAAACCACATTGGGTCTGTGGTAATGCTGATTCTGAGACAAATTCTTGCTCGTATCATCCTGAATAGACAAATTCATTAAGCCTATTCAGGATGATACTAGCAAGGATTTTTCCGCCAATCGAAAGAAGAGATATCTCTCTATGGTTGTCACATTCACACCTGTTCCTTTTGCGCTTATACAAATGGACAGCTAAAGCATCCTTATCTTGCTGTGGCACTTCTCCCTTTTCCCACACAAGGTTGAAAAAATTCACAAATTTTGTGTATCAAAGATTGGTGCCACACTTATATATTTAAGCTGGAATTCCATCTTTGCCGGGGCCTTGTCCGTTCGAAAGATGTCTGATGGCTTTTTTGAGCTCGAAGATTGAAAGGTTAGCAGAAAGGCTTAGTACAACAACTCTCTGATGACGATTATTTATTACTTCAGCATCAACAGACAAATCCTGATTTAGGACCGTGGAGAAGTCTTATGCCCAGCGCTTGATAATGTGACTTTTGTTTATCAAAGGAGCGTTATCTGAAGAAAAGATTGGTAATAGACCGCGGGAAATGGGGAAAAAAAAACCATTCAAGTTTTGGTAGAATGATTTGAAGTCATATCTGTCAGGAGCCTTCTCCAAAGCTTTCGTCTTTGCTGTCCACCAGCATAGATTAATACATATTAATAAAAAAAAAAAATAGCAAGATGAAAACTTACTTTTGCTACACATTTCGTCGTTCCTTGAGGACATAAAAGATAAATTTAGACAACTCCTTAAGAAATATAATGTTTATACGCACAGAAAAGATTACGTTCGTCGTTCAAATTAAAGTTTGAGTAAATTCTAAAATTTTCGAAAATCTCTCGATACAACTCTTATTAGGTTTTCTAGTCGCACTGAAGAACTGTGATACTACTGTCTGCGAATTATATATATATATATATATATATATGTGTGTGTGTGTGTGTGTGTGTGTGTGTGTGTGTGTGTGTGTGTGTGTGTGTGTTAGAAATTGGTTTTGTTTACTGAGCAGGTAAGGTCTCGCAAGAAACATAATCTGTGTGAAGGGTATGTGCTTTTTTTAAACAGGGTGAAAAGAGCCTTGCTTACTGTGAAGTCTCTCGGGTCCGCGCGGTAAAGTATGCTAGGACAAACAATAGTTTCGACAGACCACTGGAGGGGGACACATTTTCTTTGCTAAGATTTTTCGAAGGCGCATGCCGAAAGACGTAATGCACGCCGTTTAAGGAATAAAAATAGAGGATCTATTTCAAATACGAAGTACCCTCTATAATAATGTTTGATGTAATAAAATATATATGCACGCATATTTCATCAATAACTAACGAAAATTACCTTTTGATTATATTTTTATCATTCCAAAAGTGTCTATATATATATATATATATATATATATATATATATATATATATATATATATATATATATAAGTGCGCAGGTATGCAGAAAATAGAAAAGAACACGCTGGGTGCATAATCTGGAGTTCCTTAGTATTTTTGTTTTTATTTTTAAGAAGACAGTGCTCCATACAGAAGTAGAGCTTTATTATAACAATATTTTTTGTTTAAAATATGATTCCTTCGATACATAAGCCGAAATCATCCAAATAATTATTAAAATTAAGTTGAATTGAGGTGTTTAGTCTCGTTTCAAAAATACCTAAAATTTCGCTTGAAGATGAAGCGAGACTAAACACCTCAATTCAACTTAATTTTAATAATTATTTGGATGATTTCGGCTCTCGTTTTTTGAAACATGTGAACTCTTATGTAGCGAAGGAATCATATTTTAAACAAAAAATTATATTATATATATATATATATATATATATATATATATATATATATATAGAGAGAGAGAGAGAGAGAGAGAGAGAGAGAGAGAGACATCGAATAATATAGAACTATTATGTCTGCCTATTTTTATACTGATCATTTCCATTTGTCTAATCAGTTTCTTCATACTAAGATCAAATTCATCAAGGAAAGCTCTGCAGTTGTTTTTAAGTAACTAAGATCATCTTCAGCGGTAAATAACAGAATGCAGATTTGATCACAGTTACAATAGCATGTTTGTCTTTGCAATTTACCTTTGAAGATGATCTTAGAAAAGGTCGAAAGTACTTAGGTTATAAAAAACTCCGGCGCTTTCCTTGATTGATTTTATCTCAACATACTGCAAAAGATTACACAACCTGAAAGGATCAGTATAGAAATAATTAGTCACAATATGTCTATATTATTCAATGAATCACACACACACACACACACACACACACACACACACACACACACATATATATATATATATATATATATATATATATATATATATATCGCCTGATGAGAGACAATTTTAAAGTTCCGAAACATGGAAATTTTGTGTAGCAATGTAAAATATTATAATAAAAATATTATAATTATATATATGCGTGCTTGTGTGTGTGTGTCTGAGTTTGCAAAAACTTATTAAAGCTTTCATACTATAAGATAAAATAAAAGCTACAGAAATAATGAAATTCATAAAAAAAAAAACATGAATACCAAATATTAAAAGTAATTGCACATAAAAACGGAAAAACAACTGAAGTTGAGTTGAAAAATAACTGTGTTTGTAAAATAGCATGTCTATGTAGGGTCATTCTATATTTTGTCAGACATTACATTTCATAAGCTTAAATAATAGAAATTATTATTATTATTATTATTATTATTATTATTATTTTATGAAAAGCATAAAAATTCACACGACATAATAGATAGCAAGGATGAAGATAAGAACAATGCAACTAATGATTATATTGAAGGAAAATATATACATACATATATATATATATATATATATATATATATGAATAAAGACAAAAGGAAAATTTTATCCTTTATTCATATAGTCTTTTTAACGATATATTTTAGTTATATCTGAAACATCCACATATATATATATATGTATGTATGTATAAAATACATATAAATATAAAATAAACATGAAATGTATTATCATATCAAATACGTTTACATATACTAACTTTTATATAACTTCTGAGTGAAACAACAATTTTTAAAAATGTGTGCATGCTACATCGGAAACTTCTTTGCACACACACACAAACACACACACACACACACACACACATATATATATATATATATATATGTGTGTGTGTGTGTGTGTGTGTGTGTGTCTTAATTTTTCTTTAGAATCAACTCTGAAACTAAGGAAGTCACGCGATACATGAGTACATATCGACATAGATAATAAAAAGTAGTACGTCTTTTTGTTTGCAAAACTACAATTTAAATATGCCATTGATATTATTTTTCACGGCATTTTTCGTGTCAAACGATTCCAAAATTCTTTGTAAAAACACGGAGACATTCATTTATAGATATACGAAATTGCTGTTCATGCATATGTATGTACATATTTGCACGATCAAATTTTAAGTTTTACTTCTTAGTATTTTTCTTTATTGAACAAAATATATTTGATGTTAAATTTAAACTGGCATGCTTGTGCTTCCATCAGTTTTCTTGTGTTCTCGCTTTCATCTTAAACAATGAGAGATAAGATATAAGGAAACAGAATTTACTGCTGTAAAGTCTCGATAAACAAATAAGTTTACACTCTTTTATTAGATTTATCTACTAAGACGAATTTATCTACAGTAACATGGACAGAACATAATATCAGAAAAGGACTCTTTTTCGTCTTTTGTAATCGTTAATAAAATTTGTATTTCTTAATCCCTGTTCTGCAAAACAGTTTACGTAAGTTTATTAGTTGGATTATGTGCTGCTTCCCTCTGTACCTCTTGCGTTCAATACAATAGTGAGTGTCAAATTTTCCAAGCCTTCTTTCCTCATTATGTGCCCTAGAAATTGCGACTGCCTCTCTTTCTGAAGTCTTCTGCGTTTCCATTTTCTTTAAAACTTAATCGTTGCTCACGTGTTCACATGTTACATAACAGTTCAGTAAATTTTTCTTTGTTTCCAATTAAATTTTCCTATATCTTAATACTTTGCTTAGCATTTGGAAGGCATATTTCGCGATCACAATGCGCCTTCGAATTTCAGTGTCATTTTTTTAACGTTTTAAGCAAGGCGGGAGTGCCACTAGCACGCAAGGGGTTACAGAGAGTAGGAGCAAGAGTAAATAGACGTGATACAGAAAAGGATGAACAGAAGGAGAAGGAATTTATATCGATTGTTATTGCATTTGAATAGTTGGAGAATATTGCTATCAGGGAAGCAATTAAGAGGATGGGAGTTCCGCAAGCGGGAAGTGCGAGATATGAAGCTATGGGAGTAGAAGAGACGGCGACATTGAACCATTTCGACAGTGACAAGGTGGAACTGAGATCCCAAACTAGTAGCACGTTTAAATTCATAAAGTTTGGTAACCAGTGAAAGTAGCTCGTCGGAGCAGTTACCGTGAAAGTATTTGTAGACAAGACAGAGGGAAGCGACGGCACGTCTGTGAGAAAGTGACTGGAGACGAGATACCAGATCAGGGACAATCACATTGCATATCCGTCTCTAGATTTTGTAGAGGACC